TTGTTTAAAAATTTTTTGGGTTTTAAAGGATTTGGAACCATAAAATACATCATAAATTGCTGATATCTTATACAAGGTACGCGTTATTTTGGAACGTGCATGGCTATTATTTGAAAATTAAATACTATATATGCTACTTGCTACAGTACTTGCTAATAATACCGCGATTGCACAATAAAATATTAAGTATAAAGTAATTTAATTTTAACAACTTTTAGAATCATAAGCATACTTTATATATTTTATGAATAAATTTATGATATAAAAAAAAAATATAAACTTATATGGGGTGTTATCTATTAAAACAGCCCTTTTTTGCAATTTTTCGAAAAATGAGTTTTTATTGGATTCTTATAAATTTTGACATGCTTGACATTTTTCAATTATAAATGAAAGTCGATTTGCATAATAAAAAATCAAGATAATGTAAAAGAAAAATTACATGAAGCTGCCCAAGGCCAACACATCACGAGATTACCCGATAGTCACCTGTTACCTTTAACCAATCAAAATCGTGAAATTTGATTAATCCCGGATCAGTCCGAAAATCAAAACAAGTGATTAAACTCAATTATCTCAAAATGAAATATATGTAAAAAAGGGCTGTTTTAATAGATAATACCCCATATAAATATAGAGTTCTGGTTGTTTTTTTTTTATATCTTACAGAAGCAATATAACGGGGCTCATTGTATTTTTAAAAAAATTAATTATGCACTAATGTTTTGCGCTCTAAAATTTATTAAAATGGTACCGTCGTTTTGTTATTTTATTCACGTATTAAAAACATATATGTACATCTTCTAAAGAACGTGCAAAAAAAAAACCTACTGCAAGGGAGATAAGGAAATGAAAGGTCTTGCAATTTTCCAAAGTATTATAAAAAAAAATATATTAGCATTAGCCCTAAGATAATTTTTAGAATACACGCGTTTTTTTCAAATGATACGTAATTAGGATGCACTGGAAATCCTGTTACACATAAATAACAATACCAATTTCTTTTTCTGTTATAAAAAAAAAATACTAGTTCAAACACAGGCGTAAGATAAACAATCTTGATTAATGCTACGCGTAACGTAATACTTGCCAAAAGGCTTCTTTACGGAATAAATTTAATGCATTGAATTACCCAAAAATTTAAAACCTTTCGTAAAATTAATAATAAATTAATAATTCAATCAGACATCTATTAAAAATTTTATAAAATTTGTTTACAACAATAATACATATACAATGAATCTTATTATTGTCTTAACAAAAAAAAAAACGTTTAAATAGTAAAATAAATATAAATCTAATTTGTTCAAGTTTATTTTTACAAAAACTCGGAAGGTCGTCCTCCAGTACCACCAGCTTCGTCATAAACAAGTCCAGCAACTTTAAATGCTAGCTGATCACAATCTTCGCGTGTAGATGCTTCAGCATAAACACGTACTACATCTTCAGTTCCAGACGGTCTTTCAAATTATTAAATAATAAATGTTAGACAAATTTAATTTGAAAGGTACTTAATGCAATTATCTTTAAATAAATATATACCTGACAAAAGACCGACCATCCTTATATTGTGCAACCAATTTATCGATTTTTTCTTGAAGTCCATTAGGCTCAACAAGTGTTCGCTCAGCATTAGTGGTTTTAAAGATCTGTCTATCTGCAACCTATTAAACCAACAATATATATTTGAATTAAGAAGTTTTTTTTTATAGAATATAAAAAAAATCTTTTTTTAAAATTAATTAGAACTTACCACAACTTTTACCAGGCGATTTGGCTTATCAGTATAAACTGAATTCCATTTTTTAAATGTCCATTGTCGATTAATTAAAATTGATTCAACCAATAATAAATCTGATAATGCATCTCCAACTGTTTGATTAATTAACTCAGTTAATGCTTGTAACTTTTTAATAGCCTTTTCTTGTTCTGTAGTTCGACTATATTTATAAACAAGAAATATGTTTAATGAATAATTATCTAAAAATTTTTGAAAAAAAAAATTTAATATAAATACCTTCCATCTGAATTAATTTTATCCAATGCCTTGGAACTAAACAAAACCGTTCCATGCCCATTTGCTTCAAAATAAACACCAACATCATATTCTTGAGCTTTATGATGAAGATGCTTAACACCCGTGGGCACGCAAGAAACAGGAACTTTCTAAATATAATAAAATAAATAATGATTATATAGATAATTAAAATAAATATTATACAGTAACTTATATCTTGTAAATACATGCCAACTCTCTCTCCAAGTAAGCAGTAGAACTTCCATTTGCATAGGCAGTTTGAACTACGCCCACACTGATATCAAGACAGGCGGTCTTAACAAGTTCGATAATAAATCCGGCAGACAATGCTGCAATCTTGTCTCCATCTAATAATCTAAATGTACCATCTTAAAAGGATATAATAATCATCAATAACAAAAATATATAAAATTTTAAAATAAGCAAAATGAAAACAAACGTGACTAACCTTCGTCAACATAATAGAAAACGATACGGTCTGCGTCACCATCCAAGGAAGCAGCGCGTTGTTCACAAGCAAGATTTAATGCAAGTGGAGGTTTTTGTCCCGTCTTTACATAATCGGCACCACACTTTTATTATAGGAGGTTAATTTGACGTTAATTCAAATAAACTACGTGATATATATAAAAAATAGAAAATAATAAGTTGTATATTACTTGAAAGTTTAGTTTTCCTCGAGTATCGGTATCATCATTAATGATTGTAACTTTAAAAATATTATCGTTAAGCTTATCAATCCACTGTGCGAGATCTTTAAGTTTTGGTGCACCAACTCCATTCGCAGCATCTACATAGATGTCGGAAAGACGTTGATTGTCTCCCTAGAATATGAATAATTTTTTTATCGTATATTGTCTATAAATTTTATAATTAATTTAATAATTAATGGCATTAAGATATTATAACATACCACAGCTTTTTGAAAAGCTTTTGAGAATTTTTCGTAATAAACTTTATCTGCAAGTTCATCACAACTACCTTCTGTTGGTTTTTCACAATAATTTAAATAATATGTAAAGTAATGAAGTTGTGGTGTAGTTTTAATGCCCAAATTTTCTCCCACGGCACTAATTGCTTTAATTCCATCTTCAAGTGCTGCTATTAATTTTGGTCCACTAGGCCTAATCATAAAAATTATTAATAAAGGGAGGGGGTTTCTTTTCAAAAAAAAATTAAAAATTACTATACCTGGTATCTCTTGCATAAACAACGGAAGCCTTTTTTGATTCGTCAATCCCATTTTGCGAAATAACAGATTTGATAACGTTGATCAATTCATCATCACTTTGAGCATTCGCTAATTGAGTAGCATAACTTTCCCATTGTTGTTCCAACATTTCTCCACTTGGATCCACAAGTTTAACACCATTATCCTGAAAAAATGAATGAAATTTGAAATTATTGTCATAAAAATTACGTAATAGTTTTTCTGATGAAACAGAAAAAATAATCTTACTGCTTCAGGATTATGAGATGCCGTGACCATTATACCGATAAATTTGGAATCTAATTTTCTGGAACGTAAGCCCGCTAAAATTCCTACTCGGAAAATCACCGATTCCAAGTATTCAGCTCTAAAAAATTTTATTAATATTAATATTTACTTAATAAACTTAATCATTGATCTCAATGAAAACCAATTTAGCAAATTTTTAAAAAAGGTGAAAAAAAAAAATACATACTTCATCCGAAATCCAGCAGTTCCATAAGTATAATTGATTTCTTTGAGTTTTGGATATTTTGCAGATAATTCTTTAATTTTATCACAATCAATAGTTTGCGCCATTTTTGATAATTTTTATTTTTACGAGAATTGGTATTTGATTTAGAAGAAAAAAAATAAACTGTAAAAAAGATAAAATTATATCGTTACACTGAAATTATCATAAATTTATACTTGTTACATTGTGTGATCTGACTGCATCAAATGTCTCACTGCCTCTGCTTCTTGCGTATGTAGGTACTGTACATACACAATTTTTTTTTTCTTTTACCACTTCTATGCGTACGAACTGAAAAATAACGTATCTGCTTCTAGATCAGAAATTTAATTGCATAAACATATACCTCAACGTATCATGGCTATTTCTTAGTAGCCTTAATAGGTTATTCGCTCAGGAGAATTCAATAAGTGAAAAGCATTCGTAATATTTTTGGATTACCTTCTATAATTGTATGATCGAAAAACATATAGTATATGAACCTAATTACGATAAAATCTTGGGAAATAAAAAAATATATTATTTTTTTATACCTCTTTGTAATGCTAAAACTCCCAAAATTGTTAAAAATCTAACGCAAGAAGAATTAAATCATTTTGAAAAAGCTTAGCGTTAGCGTTTAATTTACTTGATTAGTTATAATTCCAAAATTATGCACCCCCTTAAAGGCTGACCCAAAATTTGCATAGGGGTATTTCCTATTTTTTGGTTAATCACCAATACGTATCTAAAAAATAAAGCCCGATATGGTGGGATATGCAAATGCTTTATTATGTGTTGGAGAATACACGTGAACGAAATTCTGTTTTTTCTGATGGTAGAGTCTGGACACGGTGTCCGGGCTCGACTTAATTGCGCAGAAGAAATGGCGCAGTATATTAACAAACCTTTCGTTTTAAGATTTCGGCCATTACATAATCTTTTTCATCCTTAGTTAGGCCTCTCTTTCATGTAATTTATAAATCACATGCGCGTTACAATTTGTAATGCAGGTCACTTGCCAAAAAAAATTTTTGCATCACATACACGAAATCCATTTTGTATTTTTTACGAAATAAGAAACCTAAAGCTTCATTAAATTTGCTAATCATTTCTTGACATATATTAACCTGATAACTAAATATTTTGGTTTTCTTCCCTAATTATATAGCAATGAGAATTAAAAAAGCCTTGGAAACAGAAAAAGATACTTCCGAGAAAATTAACCATAACAAACCACTATAATAACATTTAAAAATTTATATGTTTTTACAATTATTGGTTTTCGTAGTTTTTTCAATCAAGCTAACAACTGGAATCATCGTACTTCTACATGCCTTTGGTGTGATTGTTGGTTCACGGGAGAAGCTATTATGGCAAGAAATATTGTCAGATAATCTCTTGTTATTTTCACTAGAATAAAAACTATCAATCCGACACTGGATAACAAACAAAAAAAAGAATAAGTATATGGAAACTCAAATTTTTTGACAATATCAAAAAGAGATTTACCTTTAAATAAAATATTTCTATAATTAACTTTCTCACGAGGTTAAACTCAGAAAGTTCCTGAGCGAGTTTAATTTCGGAGAGTTGAAAGTATCGGTAAATTCCGTCATACTCTAGATCCATCGTTCCCAAATAGATATAACCTTCTATAATGTTTTAACAGAAAGTGAATTAGAAAAAACCGGAAACGAACTGGAAACACAAAAAAAGTGTAAAGAGTAGATTTACCACAAATATGTCCTCCAAAGGACTTAAGTTTTGGTGTGTTTCCACGTGAAGAAATTATTCTGTTGATGCCCCCCTGGCAAAGGATGGCTACTTTATAAAGATTGTAGCCTCCAATTTTGCTATTTCTCGTGACCGATAAATGTTTGGCTTCTACGAAGCACGTTTCTTCACGTTCAACTTTACATGTTTCTTCCTTTTCGTCTTTTTTCATAACTCGATATATTGTAATGTCTGGTTTTCTGCCTTTGGAACGTCCGTAAGTTGCTCGGTGCTCTTTTGAAGATAGACTTTCGGTGTTTGCCCTGTTAAATAAAGAACAAGTAAAGATAAAGAACAATGTCAATGATTAAATACAAAAAATCTCAAAAAATTTTATTACCAAATAATCTCATAATTCGGATCACGGAACATTTCTTTAAAAGCGGCATGTACATAGTCATGTACAAACGTATCCTCGTTTTTGTTCCTTGAATCTGGATACATGTGCATCCTTTCAAAGCTTGAAGAAAAAGATCATATGGTAGTTATTGGAAAGAAATGGCAAGAAAAATACAAGATTAAAATCCAAGAATCTTACAATGCACGCGCAACTGCTTGGATAGCTTCAAACAAACGCCTCTCATTATCCGAATAAATGACTTTGTCACGATATTTCCCCACATATCATAGAACTTGGAACGAAGCTCATCTATATCATTTATCTCCTATTTTTGATTGCAAAAAGATATTAGATTATAATTATCACAGGTCCGCATGTGCTAAACACATGACAATACCGCTTCATATTCGTCCATTATTTCTCCGAGGAAACTGGGTGGAGTTTGTTGCTTTGGCTGACGTATAGAAGTACGCCATTTTCGTTCATCATCTATATCTAAGTACAAAGGTTTTTTCATTGTTGTTGAGTCAATAAACATGATATTGTGAAGGGACCTATAATAAAAAGAATTTGTTAGATAATCAGACATCCTTAGGATGTAAATCAATCATACTCAATTATACTTACAAGATCGCCTCACTGCTTGATGCAAAGTCAAAAGTTTCGCCAGCTACTAGTTTTTCAATATTACTAATTTGATATTTGCGAAATTCATCCGAAACATTGTAGTCCTCAATAAACCACTAAAAGGGCAAAGCAATAATCAATACAGAATTTTTTTTCCTGAAACTGATGCGGATCCGTGGTTAACTTACATCCTTCTGTAAAGAATAGTCACATAGATCCCGACGTATTCTTAGATACCTGTCACGCATCATTTTTGTGTCAGTCATGATATCTCCATCCTGCGCATATAGATTAAGTTAGTCATTGGAAAGGCCAAAAAGAATATCTGTTTTAACGACTCATCATTTCTATAACTTGTTCATTTACCTTATTTACAATTATCAGGGGAATCGTTTCTGTGTCTTCTAGTTCCTGATTAGGAGGAGACAATGATGATTCTTCGTCATTATCGTTACAGGTTGATTTCACTTCCATCTCATTGGCGGTACTAATTGTACTGATCTGTGAAAAATGAGAATCTGTTTTAACGACTCATCATTTCTATAATTTGTTCATTTACCTTATTTAAAATTATCAGGGGAATCGTTTCTGTGTCTTCTAGTTCCTGATTAGGAGGAGACGATGATGATTCTTCGTCATTATCGTTACAGGTTGATTTCACTTCCGTCTCATTGGCGGTACTAATTGTACTGATCTGTGAAAGGTGAGAAGACATTTTTTGTTGTGTGAAATACAACTATCTCATTTTCCAAAGTTTCTCGTACCGCACACAAAGGAGAGATAACATTATTTTGATCTTCTATTATTGGCTTTTCGTTTTCTTTACTATAGTCATCAGATAAATCTTCTATTATTGGCTTTTCGTTTTCTTCACTATAGTCATCAGATAAATCTTCTATTATTGGCTTTTCGTCTTCTTCGCTATAGTTATCAGATAATTGAGGAACATCCCTTTCATAGTTGTCATCATTAAAAACTGAATCAGTTGTTAGTGAAGGTAATTCTTCCACTTCAGATGGAGATGGCGAGTACGATGATTCATAACGTGATCTAGACTGAATTAAAAATTGATATATCAGTTATTTTCAACCAATGTAAATCTGTTTGCTGAGTGTGATACTCCGCACGTGAACTAGTGTGACTAAAGTTGTGTCGTTACCCTTTTTGTGGGTGGCGTAGATGTCACGACTGTCACGTTATCCTCGTCTTTTCGCTTTTTCTCTTTAGAAGCTTCTATTAATTCTTCGTCTACCTTATCATTGTGCTATAAAGACACACAAGAGTTATTTCAATATTGATCTCAAAAACAGAGCAATAGTAACATGCAATGTTAATATGAATCATTGAATTCACGAAGGAAATCAACTAACCCTTTCTTGAACATCTGTCCCGCTTGACTTTGTTGGCACAGCCGGTGCAGTGATATATGCGCGGTATGCCTCCGCTTGTGCAGTAACATTCACTGTATTCTATAAAAAATTACAACATAAGCATTGTTACGTATTATGTAACGTATTGTACCCATCAACATACTTTGAATACGTCTTTTAGTTCGGTTTTTTCTTGCAATGTCACTTTAGCGAAAAAATATTCTCTGCATTCGTTTACCATTGCCTTGCCCGTGCACGTCTGAAACGACAAATATCAGTATACATGTCATAAAAGTCTAGGAAATAATAATCACGTACCTCCAGCCATTTCAAATAGCTTTGAGCAAATGCTCGAACACAAGCTGGAACAACGAATAACACGCAAATTTGATCCAAACTTTCAACAAACACTTTGAAGAGTTGTTCAAAATCCAGCCCAGTCTCCAACTTAGCAATATACTTGACAAAGGCACTTAGTGACCACTGTGAGGCAGAGACTCTCAAAAAAAAATTCGTGAATGCAATGTGCATTCTTGTCTATCTGATACTTGAAGAATTTGGTTGCTTCTAGTCGTGGTTCTCTGATAATATCGGACATGGCGTTAGCATTAGGGATAGGGAAACGGAAACCGTTTAAGTCTATCGCGTTTTAATGGGGTACCCTTATGTCAAGCAAATTCCGGGCTGATTTCGTAGATCGGATCCAATAAAATTATAGGATCTTGTGTAACAAAACAAATGCAAAAAATATAAGAAAATGCAAAAAATTGTAAATAACGCAAAATTTTACTATGCTAACTTTCGGCACGAAATTTTAGTTATAGAGAGCATTTTTATATACTAAATATATAGGAAATTTTTGATATACTATAACCCAAAATTTTTAGGCCGTAAATAATCTTAAGCCCGAAAATTGCTTTATATAAGGATACCCATATCTACTCGCGATTTCCTGTGAAAATTAGCCAATCAGATTACATAACTTAATCAAACGAATTCATAATATAGACAAGGCTTTATATACATACTAGCAAAACTTATTTACTATTTTTTATTAATTATTGTCGCGGCTGATGCTAAAATTGGCTAATACTAAATTTAGAGTCTCAATTTAAATCTATACTAGGAAACAGGAACCGTTGAAGTCTGGAGCCTAAAATTTTAACCTATTATTTTTACTTTGAATTTCAAAATACTATTTTATGAGTTACTTATCTTATCATTTAATTTATGTGCATTTTCTTCACAATTCGAGCCCAATTGGACCAAATGCAAGAGACCTATAAAAAAATATAGTTTAATAAATTAATAATTCAAAATGTCACAATTATGTAATAAAATCATTAAATAACATAGTCCCAATTATTAGAATTAGTTTGATCAAATAATCATAATTAATTGTGATAAACAAAAAAAGGTTTGAATTGAATATCTTGTATGTCTTCTTTGCATTTACAGTTATGAATTTCATCTTTTCTTAATAACAATTTTCCAGGTATTATTATATATGATAACATTAAATATTTTGTATTCGGATATAAACTTATTAATTATCATTATTTTAAGAGAAATTAAGGCTGCATCATATTTAAATGCTGTCGTGTAATCCATTAAGTTATTATAATTGTCTAATTAATGAATCAATCACCATCGAATATATTAATAAGAAACCAACTAGAGTAGTATAGTCGGTTTAATTTTGATAATAAAAAATTAAATATGGACCATGGTTAACAGTCAGCTTTCTTCCCTTAATCTTTCTTGTAATCTTGAATTATTTTTGATACACTCAATTCTTTCAAAATTAAAAGGTCAGAAGAAAATATCTTGAAGTGCCTGGACTCTAGAAATTGCAACAAATGAAAGACTAGCTGTAAATTCTTTTGTGCCAAGATCTACTACAGCTTTAGGGAGAGTGAGTCCTTGGCTTTTGTATACCGTTACAGCCCACGCAAGACAAACAGGAATTTGCTAACATGAGTATGGGCCAAATTTACCTTCCCAATTGCATCTAATAGGTAGAATCGGTACAACATTAATCCCTGTTGGAGTTATAATAGATGGTCCATTGTAGTTATCAAATGCAATAAAAACAGCAGTTGGAAGCAAAGGCGGTCTTTGTTCTTCAAATAAAATATCAATTACAGTTCCTATAGCACTATTCACTAATTTAGCAGATGTCAATAAATTTGCAGTAAGCATAACTTTTGCTCCTTTGGCTATTAAAAGGTGTGCCTTAAGTCCTCGTGCTATATCAGAATCAGCTATACAAGCTTCTTTACCACCAGTATTTACAGCATGGATTTTGGCAACAGGACAGTGTAATGATTCAAGCATTTTAAAATTAACCTCATTAACATTTAACCATGTTGGTAATATGTGCGTAACTTCTGAAAATTTGTCACATTCAACTTTTGATAATTTGTTCTCAAATCTTGTTACAAGAATTTCCCAGTCTGCCTGTGTTGATTCACCATTACGTAATCTCAACAGAATATCTCTAAAGCAGTACTGGTCATCTGAATCTCCAGACTAATATTAAACTACTTTGAGTTTATATACTTCTCGAAATTGAGAGTATGCTATACAACTATCATTTGATAAAGAATTACTATTATGTGAACTTTGAACATATATCGGAAGATCACAAACTGGTGGAAGCTGACCAAAGTCTCCAACAAGAATTACCTATCGGCCACCAAAAGGTTCATGCTTGTTTTCTGAAAAAGCCTGGTGCAGCTATATGTCTATCATTACAAGCATTTTTTGGCCTACTATACTTTTTTTGTTAATTGTAATATAGTTTATATCTTGATATTTTTTTTGCAGCTTTTTTAACCTTTTACCTTCCATGTTGAAATTCATATCAGATATTGGAATAGAAAGTGAAGAATGAATAGTAGTTCCATTAATATTATATGAAACAACTCTTTTCGGTCCAAGTACAAGTATGAGTGATTTAGAATTATGTTCAATTGCAATATTGTTTAGTTGGTTGTAGATTATTTTAATTAAATAAGACTTTTCAGTTCCTTCAATACCTATAATAATTATATTTAGTGGCCTAATATCCTGATTAATGTAATGAGACTTAATTTTTTTAAAGACAGTTCGTTGACCTTCATTTAAAGTATAATCTTCAATCTCTCTAATAATTAAAGTTTCATTATTTTGATATTCAAGTGATGCATGTTGCACAAAGTTTACTACATTAATATTAGAATAGTGTTTTGCAGCACTGGTCCATTTATAAGTTTGGTCTATATTACGTGTCCCTAGATTAATATTAAAATTAATAGTGATGACATTTGGGGTCATTTCTGCTAGGTACATCCAATTAGGTTGAACCTCATCCTCATCTAACAGTTCATCTTGTTCATCATTCTCAATCATATTAACTTCAATATTAGATAAATTATCTATTGCGGGACCAAGTAAGTCATTAGGATCAGCTTCTTCTTCTGAAAAGAGTACTATATATAGATTTGCTTTAGACATAGTATCATTTTTCGTTAATTGCTAAAGGCTGCAATGAGGTACATGAAGAAGTACTTTTATATGACAGAAATTTTCTCATTCAGGACTATCACATAATGGAGATGGTTGTGGCCAAATTCTTACAATATTTTTATGTTCTTTACATTCTTTCCAATGACTATTAATATAAGTATATCTTAGGTTAAGATGAAAGAGTGATAGATTATCAAGTTTATTAGGTCAATTCCAATATAATTATAGAGGAGATTTAACTGTCCGACCAGAGTTACTACTTTCAGATATATCAGCTTGCTTATCTCCAAAACTTCTATTAATATTAAAATAACGAAGTGTATCATTGTTAAGATTTAAATTAATAAATCTATGACTTGAATGATAAAAAGTGATATCTAAAAGAAGATGGCATGTTTCCTGTGCCAATATATCACGCTCAGTGACAGTATGAAGTAATAAACATTGAATAGAAGTTATAGATAGGTCATTAGAATTACTATTGTGAAGTATTTGATTCAGTAAATCCGAAAAAGGTACAGATCGTGGTTTAGCTTTGCTTGTATATTTACAAATATACTGTAGAGCAGCATTAATGCTAAGCACAGGTTTGAGGTCAACATTTGCTCTCCAACCTTGTAGCTGAAGTCGATTATAAAAGTTAACATAAGGGTCATTTCTTGTTGTAATAAGTTCAGATTGGCCTTAACTATCTTCATGCAAGAAAGTGTGTTCAATATTTTCTTTTGAAAATCCAAACCTATATACTTGGTTATTTGTCCGTTTATCAATATGAAGACAATAGGAAGAACTACACCGAGTATGTTGTTGTAGTTTATTGACTAGCTTAGTGTAATCTTGTAAATCATTATGCAATTCATTATATTGCTTCTGGCATGGGTGATAAATTGGGACAGATGCATCTGGATTTGGGTTAACTGTGGTGACTAAATTATCAAAGTATTGTAAAATTTCATGTATATTGTTTTCATTATTTTTTATTTTTTTCCAATTAAATTCTAGAGCATCACTTATTTTACCAATCCCATGTAGGTGAACACTTCCACGATGTTGCCACTCATATCAATACCACTAATCAACTAATTTCCAACGTGGATATAGCACTTTATGAAAAAATATATCAAACCGTTTTTTAAAAAACCAAGCTGCAATGTGGGGGTTGTTAATAAGGTTCTGGCAGCATTGCTTTGTAGATTCATTTTTTATAGAATCTTCTTTACAGGGCATGAGATTATGAAGCTCAGGCCAGTGTAAATCTGCAGCACTAAAAGTAAAAAATATCAATCCCTGAGAACCCAATTGTTTTATCATATCTGATAATTCTGAACATCTTTTCATCCAAAACTGCTAACTTCTCTGTAAACCTTCACCATATCGTATTACTCTATCAGCTAGATTATTGTCTGCTTGAACCATTTCCAATACATCTGCAATAGTAAGTTGGTTTTCAGTAAAATTTTGCTTAACAAATATTTGTCCTTCACTTAATGCACACCAATACATTAAAGAATTTAGAGCAAAATATCTCTATCTAGGGTGCTATACAAATCTTTCATCCCTATATTTTAACAAGTGTTTAAAATATTCGGCAGGTTTGATATTTCTTATACGTTCAGCACGCAGATCTGCTTGTCTAGTTGGGTATAGAGTTGGGAAAGCCCGTGCTATATATCCTACTGTTTTAAATTTATTAATTGGATTATTATTAATATTTGGCTATTTGACAATAGCATCTTCTATAAATTCAGAATCACTTTGTATACGACCAAGAGTATTTCTAATAACAAGATTTTTATTACAACGGGAGGAAAAACTGGAACAAATGATCTATTTATTATATTTTTTCTTTATCTGTTGTTCAGTTATATTTATATACTTGTTATTAGAATCAATAGTTTCATTATTATGAAGATTTGGTATATAATCTAGAATATCATCATTTTCAGATAAAGATTGGAGCACTTCATTATCAATAGTTATATCAGCATAGTAAGGATTATTTTCCTTTAACTATTGTAATGCATAAGCAACTTTTCTTCAGCGAACATTAAAATCTTTAAATGCAGATCCATCTTCAAATTGCCGTCGAACAACCATAATTTCTAGAGATGAAGAATGACGTGAAAGGCGAGTTGTAAATTCTGAAACGTCTTGTGGAAAATTAATAATATTTCTATGGTATTCGTATTGTCCACCACAAAAGTTGTACACTGACACAACAGGGAACACTTGGGCAATTAACATCTCTTCTATCTCAGTTAAGCCCTGTAACTCTATAGGTACATATCCTGGATCCATATTATTGTCAGATGAGAATTTTTTTGTTTGCCTCTTTTCATTATAACAGCGTTGCATTCATTGTTTCTAACCAAATTGATTGATGGAAAAATTTTATTACATATAAGACAATATGAATTTTTAAGTTTAATCATACAATTGCAAAATTCTGTTAAAACTTGTTGATCTTGCTATGTTAATTCTTGAATACTATGAAGCCATTGAGTTTGGCTAGTATTTAAGGTTTCTTGTTCTTGGGTACTATTGTTTTCTTGAGTTTGACTATTATAAAAAGTTTCTTGTCTATAAGTATCTTGTTCCCAATACTGTTGTTGCCTTTCCCTTTTCTTCTTCGAGTGCCACATTCTGCTGAAGTTTCTCTTTCTCGACGTAACCAATCTCTTATATGTCTTCTTTCTAGACGAGCATTTGTTCTTTTGAGGTTTCTTGCTCATTATTTTGGTGCATTATTAAAATTTTAATTGTATTAAAATAAAATGTGTAATAAAACTAAAATAAATAATTAAGTGAAACGCGTAATAAAAGAGAAATGCGTAATAAGTGATTAACTACATGATTGTTTAATAATAATAAAACTAAACATGTAATAAACTAAAATGAATAATAAAGTTAAACACGTAATATGTAATATAAGTTAAACATGTAATAAAAGTTAAACACGTAATAAAAGTTAAACACATAATAAAAGAAAACATGTAATAATTGATTGACTACACGATTGTTTAATAAAAAATTTTTTTTTGATTATTTTTATTTGCGTTATTTCTCTTTTTCTTATTTTTTTTTTACATCATACTATTTATATATATATATATTACATTATTTAATATTTAAATAATTTATATTAATTTTAACCATTGCAAAAACAATTAATTTTGGTTATATTTTAAAAAAATTTTGTTACATTATTTTAATTAAGACTATCTATGTAATTTTTGCATATGCTTCCATTATATTAGTTTATATTGTATTCTCTTTTTATATTCTCTTTTAACTAATTATTTCTTCATGTTAAAATATATTTATTATTATTTATTCATTTATTGTTATGTACAAAAAAATAAACTTTCTGGTTGTATAAATAATTGTTATGTATAAAAAAATAAACTTTCTGGTTTTATAAATAAATTTGCATAGCGAATATGAATTTAATCCTCGTGTTTTATGAATAATACAAAATACCCCTGGTAAATTAAATATCTATATATTTTTACAGGGGCACCTGTGACAGAGGGCTGGATAGAGGTCTGGACAATAAGTCCTTCTCTCCGCTCCGGACAAATATCTACTAAAATTCACATATACTTTTTTACTAACAACTCTACCCTCAAACCATACCCAACCTAACAATAAAAAAAACCCTAATGAAAAGGCCTGAAAATTTTTTAAAATTTTATAATAAAATAAGTCAAAATTTCGACATCAGCTGTGACAATTATCCTTTATTAATTATATTTAATTACATAATCGAGTAGAAATCATATTCTAATTATTATTGCCTTTGTTAGAGATGCTACTACTTTTAAGTAATATCCTACTTAATCAATTTTTCTAGTTGTTATTCACATTTGTACCCATCAAAGAGAAATTTTACTATTTATTAATATAAATTCTTAAATAATCTTATTTTTTAGTTATTACAGCCAAATCTACTAAATACTAAAGTAATATAAATAAGTATTGGATTTATTAAAAGAAGTAATTTAAACTTAAATACAATAAGTTAACAGTTTGTTTTAAATCTAAATTTACCTTAAACGTCTTGATCGTTCTTTTTATTTGACTATTTTTTTGCATTTAATACTTTATATAGTTAATATAGATAGTAATAGTAATAAATAACAGAATACTTGCTTCTAAGTGAAGTTCTTGAGAATGATGATTATTTTTGACTATTTTGCACAATAATATAAGCGTTCTTGCGAAGCTAGAAATCGTCTTTATGGTGATTTTTTATTAGTGAAACGTTACATTCTCAAAAAGTACTTTAAACTGTATAAATAAGTTACCCGGGGCCAATCATACGAATGTCAGCCTATGAGATCCAGCCTATTAAAAAATGTATCAACCCAAATCCAGCCCATATATAATTGGATAAATCCAAGCCTGGCCCATAACCACATAGTACATACAATCTAGGTTCGGCCCATAGGCAGTTTTTATAAAAAAATATTTATAGCCAAAATTAGTATTACTCGTTAATTATAATTGCATATACAGTAGTCTAAAATCTATTCTGATATAATAAAGTTACATACTATTTATGATATTTAGACAACTAATTTCTTTAACAACTAAGTTCTTTGACAACCAATTTTTTTAAAATAGTAATGCTTCAGCAGTATCTGAATCTAATGTAATATGACTATCATCAATAATTTACCAGCTAAACAAAAAAATTTACTTTGATAGCACACTTGTTACTGGGATAACTAAAAAAATCCCTAGTTATCCAAGATAAGTTTGGAAATCATCAATAATTTGATTTCAACCAATCAAGTATGTAACTACTATGGGCTGCCATCAATAGAAATATTAACTTTCACAGCTCATATCTTGATAAGCTTTGAGGTTATCTTGGTGATTTAGTATTCAAAAGAAAGCATAAATCGTAAGCTTTCTTTTAACTATTAAATAATTAAGATGGCTTTGAAATCCATCAAGATATGAGCTGTGAAAGTTAATGCATTGATTTTTTTTAAAATGTCAATCTGCCTTATTTCTATTGACGGCATCCCATATAAATATATTGGTTTAAGTAAATTGAAATAAAAGTAAGATGTGTGTATATGTATATATAGAATTAATTTCATATGACTAATATGTATAGTTATAAAATAATTTGTAAAATAATATCTTCACATTTTTAAATAGAGAAAATTTAAATGATATTTCTAAGCTTATTACTATTGACGGGTCTATTTGATTACATTTTGATATTTCGCTACTATAAGTAAACTTCTTTAATTATTAATGTCCATATTGCTATTTGAGAGTTGTAGTTATCATAATAAAAAGATATGGGATTTTACAATATGAAAAATGCTTTTTAAAAAAAAATTAAAAGCAATAATGTTATTTATATATTTATCAACAAGAACTTAATCTTTTTTCAAGCAAAAATTAATAATGCGATATTATTAAAAATTTAAAAAGAAAATTCGAAAATAGTTTGAAAGCCTTTTTTGTTCACAATTTCGACATAGTTAGATATAGTACATATGGATTGTCCATAGGTTTTTGAATATGGATCTGGATATATCCAATTTTATATGGATTTGGATCTTTGAGACCAGATCCAACAAAAAATCCATATAAATATCCAAGCCCAGTCCATGTTGGGCTGATTCATAAACAATCCATGAATAGTCCATACCATGCGGAACTCTACTCTCATCAAATTTTTTTATCCGCATTGATTCAGTGTATAACAGGGTCGGCAAATGACTTTTAAATGACATAAATGACATTGTGACATTGTCATTTGCCACTTTGTCATTTTAAGGTAAATGACAAATGATTATATTTAAAATACTAAGATCCTGAGATCATTAAGGTTTTGTGGCACTTTGGGTATTTTTAAGTTTGGTTAAATCCTAAGACACCCAAAGTTTTAATATATTATTTTTAAATGACAAAATAACAAATGACATGTGTCATTTGATACTAATTTGTCATTTGTCAACCCTGGTGTATAATGATAACTTACTTAATTAGTTTGCAAAATATAAGTCATTTCTATTCGAATATTTTAAGTGGATTCATATTATTTTGCCAACAATCACTTCACAGACATAACTTTACACCGACAATCATTTTACTGACAAATTTTTTTTACAGACAAATGGCACTCGATTTACCGAAGTTAATTTTACCGACACCGATAATTACAGCTGTTTTCATAAATTCTGGGACACCTAAAAATTTTCTCATTACCTAACTCTCCGGAAACTACATCGCTGTCTCTGGACTGAAAGTAGCGATGTAGTTTCCAGAGAGCTAGGTAATTTACCGGATGAAGCCGAAAAGATTCCGGGAAACAAGAAAATTTTCAGGTGTCCCAGAATTTATGAAAACAGCTGTAATTTTACTGACAAAATCAACTTACTGACATGCTTATTTTACCGACAACAAAATTTACCAATAAACTTATTCGACAGACAATACAACTCACTGACAATAAAAACCTTATAATAAGAAAATAAAAGATGCAATGTGGTTATTGACCTGACTCTGATCTTGTGTTTAAGTTAGAATCAGTATCCAACGAAGCCTTTTTCTGCATTCGAAAGCCGTGCCAATAATAAGCTTTTATTTGTCAGTAGAATAAGTTTGTCGTAAAATGAGCTTGTCGGTTAGTTGATTTTGTCGGTAAAACTAATTTCGGCGAAATGTGTGTCGATAAAGTCAACTTGTTGGTAAAAACGAACTTGTCGGTAAATCGAGTGCCAGCGCTATAAAAAAAGCTTGTCGGTAAATGATTGACAGTTTACTGTAATGTTATGTCTGTGGAATGATTGTCGGTGATTTTATTGCCATCCATTTTAAGTATCCACATATTTTGAAAACAGCTATAGCAACAACAAAAATTTGGGTCCGTATTGTTTCACTGACAATCACTTCATAGACACCACATTTCACAGACAATTATTCATCGACAAGTTCATTTTACCGACAGTCTATTTCAC